CGGAGTAAGCTCATAATCACTGGTGTCTATAGATTCTGTACCTGAGTGAGTTTCAGAGGATTTTGGAGCTGGATTAGATTCTTGGACAGCTGCTGGAAGCTGTGTTAGGTTCTCTATTCTTTCAACAGTTCTGTTTCGTCTTGTATAGATCTGAAGTTCCTGAGGAGTGAGTTGTGTAGACTGAGGAGGTTGAATATGAGAAGGTGTGGGTTGTGTAGACTGAGGAGGTTGAATAGATGGAGGAGGTTTGACAGTTGGCGAGGGACCCGGGTCAGTTGGTAAAGGAACACATGGTTGTTGTTCACTACGACTACTATCACATGGTTGTTGTTCGCTATGACTACTCTCCCCCTGAATGACAGACCCTTGGTAGTATAATTGATGCTAAAAAAATGTGACATCCATAGAATTATAGACCTTTTTAGTTGAAGGACAATAACACTTGTAGTCTTTCTTGTTGGTCGAATATCCTATGAATATGCATTTGACGGATTTGGGGTCTGATTTACTATGGTGTTGTTTGTGAATATGAACAAAGACGGAACAATCAAATAGTTTGGTAGGGACAACTAAAGATAGTGTACAAGTATTTGGAAAGGAGCGAATGAGGACATCAATTGGACTATGAAAACCCAGAATATGAGAGGGCATCCGATTTATGAGTTAGGCAGCAGTCAACGTTGCACAATGTTGCCTCGTCTCAATAACATTTAGGGACCGATGTGGTAAACATGAGACAGCGGACTATCTCCAACAAGTGACGATTTTTCCGCTCGGCAACCCCATTTTATTGGGGAGTATCAACACACGTGCTAAAATGAATGATGCCATGTTGAGTAAGAAAAGTTCCTAGGGAGGTGTTGAAAAAATCTCGTGCATTATCTGTTTTCAGAGTCTGGAGTTTTGAGAGCCTGGATTTTTTGTGTCAAATTGAGTATCATTTGATAGAATGCACGAAGTATTGGTGCTACCTCAGATTTGTCACGCATAAGATAGATCCATGTCACCCGTGTGTGATCATCAATAAAGGACACGAACCATTGGACTCCAGAAATATTTTTTTTTCACGAGAATGACCCCAGGCGTCACTATGGATCAGAGAAAAGGGACGAGTGGGTTTGTATGATAATCGAGAAAATGAAGTACGAGTGTGTTTGGCAAGTTGACAAAATTTGCAATTAAAAGAGGTAGGACTTTTATTAATAAATAAATGAGGAAACAGTTTCCCCAGGTACATAAAGTTGGGATGACCTAAACGATATTGAAGTAACATAATTTCACCATCATTATTAACGTTGGAATGGAATACATATGTACTAAGCGGATTTAAGTAAGACAGACTTGATACTGGAATACAACCGATGGGTGAGAATAGACTGACAGAGAGTTTGTTGCACTGCGCAATTCAGCACTGCCAATCATCCTCCCCGACTTCAAATCCTGAAATTCACAAACATATGGAAAAAAATTTAGCAACACAATGACAATCATGAGTGAGCTTACTAATAGAGATCAGATTGCAATCCAAAGTAGGAACATGAAACACAGAAGTGAGGAATAAATCTGGAGAGATGCGGACAGAACCAAGACCAGCAACTTTGGAGGCTGATCCATCAGCAATCCGAACAGTGAGGGTCGGATTACACGACCGGTAATCCATTAATAAAGAGACATCCCCAGTCATATGATCGGAGGCACCTGAATCAACAATCCAGGGGCGAGAAGAGGTTGAATCTAAGACGAAAGCGGATGGGGAAATACCTTGATAGGTAATAAGGTTGATGACACCTGCACCCGATGCCACACTAGTAGGCTGAACTGGTGACAGCTGACCGAGCATCTTCTGGAGGGCATGGATTTGTTCTTCGCTGAATGGGCTTGTTCCTGGAGAGACTTCGGTGGTGCTGGTGGCAGCTGGCCGATGATCCCGTTTGGGTTTCCTATTGGCGGGTTTGCCATGAATTAGCCAACATGTGTCTCGAGTATGGCCAGAACAACGACAGAGGTCACACCAAGGGCGGCCCTGACATCTGTGGATGGAATATGAGCAACAAGTGCAGACCCGTCGAGGGCTGTAGTGGACAAGGAAGCACCTAACATGACCTTTTAGCGACTCTCTTCGCGGCGTATATCGGAGAAAGCTTCACGAATTGTTGGAAGAGGTTTCGAATTCAAAATCCATGAGCGAGTCTGGTCAAACTCAGATTTGAGGCCGAGAAGAAATTTGAAGGTGCGTTTTTATTCTATGATTTGGTGAAATATGACAGTCTTCGGGATACTTCCAAGGGTACACCTCGAATAGATCTAGTTGTTGTCAATATCGAGTAAGAGTATTGAAGTATTGAGTGACGGAGAGATCACCTTGACGAAAGTCATGAAGAATGGTCTCAACAGCAAATAGTTCGCTTGTATTGTCCGCACTAGAATAGGTCTCACGGGCAGTATCCCAGATTTCCTTAGTTGTTTCCTTAGTTGTGCCATAGAGAAGAAAATTTTCACCAATATCAAGTGTCATTGAGTTGACAAGTCAGCCCATAACCATATTATTCTCGGATTTTCAAGTCTTGTATGACGAATCTGTCGTCATCAGAGCTGGAGCATCACCTGTGAGGTAGTCATCTTTGCCTTTGCCGCATACCAACATCATGACTGACTGCGACCATTGGAGGTAATTCTAGCCGATGTGTTTGTGGCTGGTGATGAGGACAAAATTATTGTCTAAACTGCTGGGCAATGGAGACCCAGCTGCGGAGGGGTGGCTAGAAGTGACATCACTAGTGGATATGAGGAGTTGCATGCATGGCCGTACTTAGTCATTGGAGAGGAGAGGTGGCCAGCAGAATGAATTGACTGTGCTCGATCGCGGAAGAAGAGTCGGTGCTCATGATCGGACGCGGACGATCGCGGGAGAATCGGGAGCGCGAAAAATTGCGGGAGATCGCGGGAGATCGCGAGATCGCGGGAGATCGCGGGAGAAGCGCGGACGATCGGATGCGGACGCGATCGGTCGATTGGGCGAGGAGCGACG